TAATTCTCTAGTGGTAAAACCACTGATCTGTAAAATAATACAGATCAGTGGGTAAAACAATTCATTATAATATTCAGTGATGTGGTAGAATCTAGGATCCAGTGATAGCGTCAACTAAAATCGACGTGATTAAATAGATGCTAACACTAGGTAGTAGTTACTACTTGTGATTAAGTGCTAACCGGAAAAATAGGAGATACAACTATACTCTAGTTATAACTAAGGAGTAGCAGAAATTTACGTTCTTCGGCGCTGTCAGAGTTGTTTACTCCCGCAGTACGTTGTCGGACTTGTTTTGTCTTGTATTCTTTCAGTTAGTTGGTTGTTGTTTTTATTCTGACAAACATGTCGTCTTCTGAGTGTGAAGATGAGTTTGAAAAGAAGAGATTTGTTTGTGAAATTATTTAGCGAACATTCAGTGCTACTGGAAAAATCTAGAATTCCAAAATTTGTTCAACATAAAAAGGAATCATGGGAAATAGTCTGTGAAATAAAATGTTACAAAACATGAAAGCTGTAATTAAAAAGAAAACTGATACTAAAGCTACAAGAAAATAAAATTGAAAGATTGGGAGAAATAATTTTTGGCAATATTGCGTGCAGAAGAAAAGAATCCTGTTTTTACTAAAGTTCCAGGAGCAGTGACGTTAGGAAAATAATCAAAAAAAGATGACGGTTTTAAGCATAACATTAGTGGGGATGCCCATACTTCAAGTTCTTCACCTCAAATATCTGAAAATAGTAATGTAAGACCAGGCATTAAAATTATGACTACATTTGAAACTGAAGAAACAAGAGATCTGTCAACATCTCAGCTGCAGAGAGTCGTTCTCTTACAACAATTTCAGCTGCAGAAAATTCAATTGAAAAAAGAACAAAAAGAACTTGAGTTACTTGAAAAAAAAGAACACCAAAGACAGTGAAGTACAGACAGATGCAGTTATTGTTCTTGAATTAGTTGAATAAAATACTCGATGCGTTGCGGCAGTAGATCAAACCAGAGGCCTTGTGAGCCGCTCTTCCCTATATATCATGAAAATATTTATGTGTTTACATTTATAGTTAATTATAATAAATTTTTACATTTTTTTGAGTTTTATTGTATAATAATTTAGAATTTAAATACAAATTAGCATCTCATCTCGCTTCTGTTTACCACGGCGCTTTGTTGCATTGTTCTCATGTATATAACCGTCAACTCCCTCGTCTTATCCATCGTGATCTTCTTCATCCGCCAGTTCCTCAAAGTCAAATTGGTCCTTAAGATGTTTCGCGACATTGTGGAGCACTGCACAGCTTGCTACAAGCTTAGGTACTCTCTCAAGTGATACTCGCACACAGTTGCCTAAGATGGAGAACCTTTTTTTTACTCTTTCTATTATGACTCTTTCTGAAGCGTGTTTGCGATTGAATCTTCTTTCAATAGCAGTTTGAGCTGGCTTGAAAGGCGTAATAAGCCATGGAGCTATACCGTAGCCGGAATCACCAAGCAAACGAGCTCTACGGTCATACTGAGAAATGATGTCACGAATTTCACTACGCCGCCATATTCTCGAATCATGTACTGATGCTGGCTAATCAACGCAAATGCTTTTAACCCTTTCTTGTGTATCACAAGTTGCTTGAACATTAATACTGGGGTAACCTTTTCGATTAATGTACTCATCACCAACAGCAAAAAGCTTTTTTATTTGTACATGTGTACAATCTAACGCTCCCACAACGTTTGGTAAATCAAATCATGTCTGCCATAACAATTTTGCATTGTTTATCTCTTGAACTGTGTTGGGGAAATGGATCCAATTATGTGCTTTTTCCAGAATATGATCCATAACACAGTTTATAGTTTTACTCACTGATGAGCGTTCCACTGCAAAATCTTCAGATACTCCACTCTGAAAACCAGGGTCAGCAACGTAGCGTAAAAATATTCCCATGCGATTTCTTGGAGTCAGAGCTTTTCCTCGAGTTTCATTACTGCCTGGCAAGAATTCTGTTGTTAAAAAGTTAATACTTTCGTCCCAGTATAAAGAACAATACAGTAGCGACAGATTGCGTCGGCTTCTTTGATGTCGGGGTGGTCAGATTTTCAATGACAGTTGACGTTTTTGTCGCTTATTTCTACACGGAGAAAAGTAAACTCTAAAATTGCAAATTAGCGATGTACACTTAGAAAAAAATTTAAACATGTACATATAACATTTTAATGTATTCTAGGCAAATAAATTAATCATAATATTGTGTAACTTAAATAAATGAGTTCCGGTGAAAATCTAGATGTGCCAATTTTAAAATTTTATCATTAGATTAAAATAAATTACTTTTGTATGTCATTCATTGTATGAAATGTGTTGAAACATTTTTTGGTTTCTTCCTGGAACTAATAAATTAACTCAGCACCTTATTTTTTATTTAAAATGAGGTTATGTAGGTATATTTTTAGAAGTGAAACAACATATAACAATAATATTTATTAAAACACACAATTACAAATTAGTAAGTTTTTAATGAATTTACAATACAAGAATTATTTTATTTAAATTTTTCTTCCTACGTACAAATTTTTGACTTCAGATGAGTTTTAGCAAATGCCTGTTGTATGTCGCCCGTTAAGCACAATGCTGCCCAATTGCTTATATTACCTAAGTATATAATTAAATATTATTAACGTCACATCATAAAAATTAGATGTTTATATTTAACGATTTTATGGTTTAAAATTTGTATGGGAAAGGTTATCTGCTGTGGGATTTAAATATTTAATGGCTAGAAGAATCAACAGTGACTGTCTAGAAAAATTTGTTGGGTCCATTAGGCAACAGGGTGGGAATTTAATTAATCCAACACCTGTACAATTCGAAAGGGCATTTAAAAAACTTTTTTGTCAAAATTATCTTCATTGCAATTCCATGAATTGTAATGAAGACCTAGACAAGCACTTGCTACAATTAGATGTAAAAAATATTGTCTCTGTATCCTGAAATAAATAAAAACACTCGAGAAGCTGTTTTTCTTCCTAATTACAGCTACAGGACAGAAGATATAACAGTTTAAAATCCATTTAAATATGTTTGTGGCTATTTGATCAAAAAAGCTTTAGGCATAGGTACATGGATGTGATACATTTATTAAATTTTCAAAAGAATGTGAAGATTTGGATAGTTCACAGATTTTAACATATGATTGCAAATAAAGCACTTATGGAGGCCTAAAAACTCCAAATGAAAAGTTTATTATCTATATATTTAAATTATAAAAAAATGTTATATCTATTTTTAGCAATACCTGTGTAATGTCTGGTATATCGCATAGCTTTTTTTGATATTATGAAAGAAATAGAATTTAATCATCCTTGTCCTAATTTCCCTAACGTATATATCATACAACTGTTTATAAGATTATATATATTATTGTTTAAGTGCTTAAATATTGTATAAACGAAACAAATCAAAAATTAAAAAACAGTTAAAACACCACAAAATACATTTTTTTGTTTTCTTTTTGCTACTTTACAAGAAATACATATATATTTTGATTAGATGTAATCAATCAGAACATTTTTAATCAATGGACATAGTGAATCAAAGAACATCTAATTCATTATAATAATTTGGAGGTAGGATTTTTGATCAAGAATGTCCAAAGGTTGCACATGGTACGCATTCAAAAATGTCTCGTTCATGTTCAATGATAGTCTCAACAGAGGAAGCACTTGGTCGATGTACTAGGGAGAAGATAGATATTTGGCTGATGACCTAGATGGATAAAAAATGTGGGAACAGCAGTAGGCAATAAACGTTTACGGTTCAACGTTTTAGAAAAACAATTCTTCTCAAAATGTTTCTCACACAACCTGTAATTCCGATGAAGACTGTTCACATCTATGTTACTCAAATCTTCCCTATTACAAGCTCTTAACCACATGTTGGCCCTAAAATATAAAAAAGTTGATAACAAATGTTTAGATTGAGGGTAGTTCAGAAATTATATATTTTTTACATTATTTTTGTTGAAATTGTAAAAATTTTCCTCAAGACATTTAAATATTTAATATTTGGTTGTCAAATAAATATTTGGTTTTCAAATATAAAAATTGAAAGTATTTTCTTAAGAAATACCTTTCTGGCTCCATGGGAAATGCAAAATAACTTGTCCCTTTGTCTGTTTACTCTGTTTGAGATGGACAAGGGCAATAGACACATCTCTTTCTTTTCTGATCAGGTGCAGAAGCCATTTCAAAAATATCACACAAATGAAAAACTAAAATAATAAAAATGTCTCAAAATATGCACTGCAAACAAACAAAAATAATGACATACATCGCATTGACACTATTGACGTTGACGTTTTTGTCGCTTATTTTCGGACATGCGCAGAAAAATATGGACCCCTCATAAAAAATGATCTGTCGCTACTGTATTGTTCTTTATACTGGGCTTTCGTTCTCAAAACGCGTTAGTTCCTTACATCTTGTCACTAATCTTCTTTCACCATAAAACTTTTCTTTCTCGTACTTGCATAAACATCGCCATGGTAAGGATATTTACGAATAACAAAAATCTAAGTGTGGTCTCGTTTAGACGTACAAATTGTCAAGTTGCAACTGCAATAAATTAGTAGTGTTTGCGCTTTATTCACAGTAAAAATGTAGTTATAACTACAAAACCGGAAAAACTTTAGTTGTAACTAGAGAGCCCTTTTATTCACATCAAGTGAAGTTATAACTTTAAAATACTTAAATGTTAGCCTTTGTTACTTTTTATTCACATCACTCATTGCTATAATTGTTTACATAAATAAATAATAATTATTCGTACTGAAATTACACATCCGATTTGACTATAAAAGTTTTTCATTTGTGATGATCAAAACAATATTTTCCTTGAAATTTTAGAAATGTTTTTCCCGTTTACGAAATCTGTATCGATAAAGCCAAAAGAGGAACTCAACAATCAACAAATTTGACTTATAACCTTCTGCAATAAAAATATCATATTTAAAGCTGATAACAACAATTTTTGAACCAGTATCTTATTAAACAAATTTGAAATGTATTTGGTTTTGTGTATTATATTTTCTGTTTTTGCATATTCTGCTCAGGTAATCGTTTCAACTACTCATATTTTATTTTACAAATTTATTTTAATTTAATAAAAATGTGTGTTTTTTTAGGAGACTGTAAAGGTATCTGTTTTTTATGAATCATTATGTCCTGCATCACAAGAATTTATTCAAACTCAATTTTATCCCGTATACCAAAAATTAGGACCTGAAGCTTTAACTGTAAAACTGTTCCCATATAGCCAGGTTAAGGTAATTGTTTTATAATTTTTTATAACTATTAGTGTGATACAAAAATTAAATTAGTATACGTATATATTTATGTAGATTACCGTTGGTTCGTATTTTTTTTTTTTTTTTGAAGACGTGAGAATAAAATTGTTTTCCATCTCTTCTTATCCATTGCAATCTTTTCTGAGTTCTTTATTCTATCTCATTCATATCATTGCAGTTTTGTTTACCAGTTCTATCATTCTGCAATTTAGTTTCTCATCTTCTTTCTTTTTAATTTTCATAACTTCCAAAGCATGCATCATTATTGTTCTTACCATTGTTTTATAAATTTTGCCATCATTATTTTTGAATATGTTTGTCTCCCAGGTATATAAAATTTTCTGCTTCCTCAAATTCTGTTTTCGAGTCTTATCTTTCTGTTTCTTCCTTCTTTACCTATTTTTATCAGTTTTTCGATTTCATATACGAATGAAAGAATTTTATTATTTTACTTGCTGACCCGGCAAACGTTGTTTTGTATATTAGATTTTCATATCATATGAAATTGCAAGCGATACAAATTCACTCAACAAAATATTTATTTATTAACTATAAAGTTTTTAATTATCAAATAAAAAATGGGGGTTGATCGTAGAGGGGTGAAAATGAAGGCTTGTATGTATTTTTGTATGCAGTATTATAAAAAAATATAAACAAAAAATTTTGTCTAAAAAATTTAGGGGGATGAAAAATAGATGTTGTCTGATTCGCAGACCTAAGCGATATGCACACAAAATTTCACGAAAATCGGTCGAGCCATTTCGGAGGAGTTTAATTACAAACAGAATTTTATATATTAGATAGATTATTGAATAATTAAATGATTTGAAAAAAATTAGTCATTAGTTATTTTTTTAGGTAAAAAAATCGGAGTTGAACATTAAATGTCAGCACGGAGAGGAGGAATGTTTTGCTAATAAAATTCAAGCTTGTGCCCTGGGCTTAAATGACTCTAACGAAAATTCTATCAACTTTGTAGGATGTATCATGTCAACCGATGAACCTCAAAAGAAAAGTTTTAATAAAAAAGTAAGTATTATTATACATTAATTTTAAATAAATAAAATTATATAGGGTGAGTCATAAGTAAGGTAAAAATAATAATATTTAACTTAACATAATGGGACTAAGATCTTTTATTTCAGTACAGGATACAGGATTTATTGTTAATAGGAAAATTAAATATGTTTGTATATACAGGCCTGAAAATTTTAGTAGTAGTTTTTGTAACTACAAACAAGAATATGTTATTAGATTTGAGTTAACTCGTAGATGTATCCGTATACTTTATATTGAAAAGAATAAATATGATATACATTTTTTGTCACTCAATAATTTAGCACTTACATATTTAATTTAGAATGGTTTACCACTTTTGTATAGGTAGGGGCCTTAATAACAATTTTCTGCAATCTTTCTTCACATTTTATTGATTTCATTTAAAAGTTATACGCTAGCTGGTTGCAAGAAGGCTTGTTAAATCTGTAAATATAACTAGCATTACCATGACTTTATTAAATAGCGAAATTTTAAATGTCATTCTGACATATCACATTCTCAAATTCTGCCAAAGTTTACGAAGTTCATTAATGTTAATGAACGTTGTTGCAACGGGCTGTAAATACTAAGTATCTAGGTACTAACAGAATTAATTTTAAATTTTAAAAAATCATAAATATGTCGATTTTTGTTTTTAATTGCCCATGTCTCAATCTACATTGAAACCGATTACGTCACCGGTGTTGGCCCTATGACACAATCGTTGAATTTTTCAAAAGAATATAGCTATCATATGGTACAGGGTTGGGATAAAGTGTGGAACCAAGTAAATATCTTTAAAACGAAAAGGACGATATGTATGAAACTTTGCAGGCAGGTACAATGACGCATAACGCATCTGATGCCATATTTTTGTTACTACTGTACTTCCGGTTTCACCGGAAATACCCTCAACTTTTTTAATTTAAATGGGACACCTTGTATATTTTTGCAGATTTTAAAATATCTTATTCCGAATTAGTACATACTAACAGAAATAAATTGTATGATTAAGAATGGTTCTTTTAAGTGAAAAAGATCGTATTGAAATATTAATGAAGATCGGTTAGGGTGATCGTGTTAGAACTCATGAAGAAGTTTGTCATATTTTTAACGATTTGCATCCTGAAAGAAATCCCATATCACGTTCAACGGTTACTAAAACATTACAACGTTTTAATGCAACTGGGATGGATAAAAATTTTCCAAAAACTGAAAGACCGCGGACCGCAACGAACGAAGCTATTAGACAAAACATTGCAATTGATTTAGAGGAAACACCTCAAACTTCTACAAAAATTTTGGCACTGAACCATGGTATCTGTATCTGTAACGTGTGGAGGGTGGGTTATCCCCACGGCACTTAGGCCTTATTAGGCCCATTGTGCATTCTAAGATGATAGGCACCTCCTAGCTCGTCAGCCAGCCTACAGATTTAATGTAGTTGACAACGTCGCCAAGAGGTGCTTTTCTTATATCGGCCGGTGTTAGCCGATACTCGCCGAACACAAATCTTCTAATAAATGTTCGCACCCTCTGCAGAGTGCGGATTCTGACAGCCCCATGGAGATGCTTCCGTACTTGGCAATGACCAGTCAGAATGCCTGTGACCAGACGCAGATTCTGTCTAGTCATAGTCAAGTATTTGTTTGCTGCAGTACTGTCAGGATAACTTAAGAGCTCCCTGGCAACTCTGCAGTTTCTTGTTTCATCCCATCTTTCCTTGAATTTCACAAGGGAATGTTCTTTCATTAGGTCTGTCACTACCGATGGAACAGTTAACCGCCACATACCCAGTATCCACAAAAGTTAAATGTTTGGATGGGAATTGTCGAAAATAGGCTTATATACCCATTTTTTTATAGACGGAAACTTGAATGGTAAACAAGTATTTAGATTTACTGAATAATCAAATTATTCCTGCTCAACAGAATGGACACAATTATTGGTTTCAACAAGATGGAGCGCCTCTCCACTATGATCGACGGGTTAGGGATTTTTTAGATGCGAATTTCACAAATCGATGGATTGGACGTAGAGCATTTATAGAGTGGCCAGCTCGTTCTGCGGACCTCAACCCGTTAGATTTTTTTCTGAGGTTATCTTAAATCACGTGTTTACGTTAGACGACCAACATGCTTGCAGGATTTAAGACAACGAATGATTGATGAATGTGAACTAATACGTGGAGAAGTCTTGGAAAGAGTGACTCACGAATTTATTAAGAGACTTGCATATTGTCAGGAGGTGAACGGCGAGCATTTTGAACATTTGAAGTGATTTTGTTTAAAGTATTATTCTCATTAGACTAAAGTAAATAAATTTACCTATTCTTTAAATGTAAAGTGATTTATTTCTCGTTTTTACAAATAATTTCCTTCAAACTTAGTATGTACGAATTCGGAATAACAAGATCTTTTAAAATCTGCAGAAATATACCCCTTTAAATTAAAAAAGTTGAGGTTATTTCCGGTGAAACCGGAAGTACAGTAGTAACAAAAAATATGGCATCAGATGCGTTATGTGTCATTGTACTTCCCTGCAAAGTTTCATAAATATCGTCCTTTTCGTTTTAAAGATATTTACTTGGTTCCAACCCTGTATAAATTATTGGCATACAGGAAGAAATATTTAGTTCTAATTTAACCACAACTAATTTTGTTTTAGTGTGCAAGAAAAAATAAAGTCTCCTGGACAGATATAAAGGCGTGTATTAATTCAGACCAAGGGGATACATTTATTTATGAAATCTACAATACAACAAAAGCATTAACTCCCAAATTAAATTGGGTACCACACATTAGATTTAATGACGTTTTTAACCGAACTGCAGAACAAGCTGCTAGAGAAAATTTATTGCATACTGTGTGTGAAAAGTATGAAACGAAAAAACCCGATGGATGTGATGAAGCACACCCAATTTCAACTGAAGAAGAAGAAGACGACTTTTAACGAAAATAAAAAAACATTTTAATTTAAAATATCTTTATTGTAGTATTAGAGAACAAGATGCTAAAAATTTGTTCTGACCTTAAAAAATTCTATACAGTGTATCTACTAAATTATTTTTACATTAAAAACTTGCATTAATATAGTTATTTATATACCAAGACTGGTAAGTAGGTCATAGCCTATAGGGCTAAGGTTGGCAAGTGTTTGACACCACTTCAAGACCTGGAAATTACACCCCGAGGTGAATTCGATGTTTTTCGTTCTACTTAGTGTTACCAGCGTTCTTTATTTAGACTATTAAATATAACGAAAATGATCAAATACCAAAGAAAGAGTTATCTATCACCATAGTACGCCTTGGGAACACACCTGCTAGCTCAGGAGCTGGGGTTCTGTAATTTATATCGCGCCAGTGATTCAACGGGGTTGATGCAAATCACTGGATCCTCGTTATTATGAGGATAGACAACTTTTAATCATGAATATCATTAATTAACTGTTATGTATTATATTTAGAGAACTGAGAGACTAATAATTGTTCGTCTAAAAGATCCCTTAAACTATAGTAGGCAAGTTGCACTGTCACAAAGAAAGGAAAAGATAAAACTCACCTCAAAAGGTCCAGCTTTATGATTCTGGACAAAGCTGCATTCTAACTCCAATTAAATAAAAGGCTTGTTATTGTTTATGGGGGAAATTTATTCATATATAACTATAACCCTACGGTTGTATCAGGGCTCCATTTTGTGCGAACAAAAGGGGGCGTACAAGGTTTGTTATCTGCAAAAACAATATATTAGTACATAGTAAACACTGAACATCATACAAAATACAATATTATGTCATATTCTGGACATAATAAATCTTGTCAGAACTAGAAAACAAAAGGAAATCAAATATGAATATGAAGAACTAAACTATCTATGGGGACTTTAATTAATCCCTAACAAAGTACAAGCTCAGCACCTTGATGGTTTCGAACTTGACCTAAAGAAGAAATAATATAACATTATACTCAATAATGAAATCTTAAAACTAATAATAAGCCCCCATTAACAATAAAATATTTCTATTGAGCAAATGTCGATGAGTATGTAACTAAAATTAAGGAAAATCCCCCCTTTTAATAATAAAATGTTCATTGAAAATTAAGGAAAATCTTCCCTTTAATAATAAAATATTGCGTGTTACACAAATATGTATCCCCCTTTCATGGTGGGATCCAATATTGAAACTTTCTTTACCATCACTACTTAACTTTGTGGTGGAGGTGGTGAGAGATTGTGAATCCCTAAAGTTCGACAGCAGCCAGATATCTCTGACCATAAATAGAGAGGCGGGAAGGCCTCTGACAAGGCTCCACTGCAAGAGGATGTCTCGGACGACAAAACAGGAGGCGATAAGGCCCCTAACATACACTGGTAAGGTGGTGCCTCCAACGACCAACAGAGAGGTGCGAATTATGGCTCCGAGGATGAACAGAGCCAACAGGGTGGCTATGAAAATCATCCAGCCGTGGACTCGCCTTTCCTGGCTTACCACACAAAATGGCGCGTCTCGTGATGACCGGCCTGAACGCCAATTAAATCCTTCCTATGGAAGTGGTTTCAGATTCCGAATATAACACAAATCACTTACTAACGAAATGGATTCGAAACCCTTGTTTTAAAGTTGTTAAATACTTATCCACCCTACTTGGTGATCAAATTACAAGAAAAGGAAAACTCGACAACCTTTTGGCTCGGCGACATTCATCAAAGAGGAAGCACTTTTACCTCTTTCTCAATCAACCTCCTTTTTGCATCGAAGAATGGCCTTTTAATGTGGACCTATTCAGCCCATCGTATTTTATCAGGTGCACGGGTGTTAATAACACCTCTTATTATCTCAAACAATTTCTAATAACCCCCCTACATATTTACAAGAATAACCCTTAATCAATAAAAAAAAAACCCCAACAAAATTTGGCTGCATGTGCTACTCGGACTATTACAGCTCGAGCATAATAATGCCTAGCGATTAACTATTGGGAGTAGCTAACCGAGTGATTCCGAACAACCGAGGGCGAGCGGATCGCACAAGACAGTGCCACAGTTTATTGCTAAAGAATCAGTTAGCTCACTTGGACCAGTTGAATGTTCCAAAATAATATCCACTTCAGGGATACAAATTCAGGATTCGCAGAAGACTGCTGTTTGAATATAGGCGGTTGTCATATATTGTATTGGTTATTATTTGATTCTGTATGCGCCAGGGATACAAATCCGAGTTGCGCAGTGTATAAACTGGAACATTGAGATCAAAAGTGCCGACGCAGAGTGAGCGAACTGATAATATCCACTCCAGGGATACAAATTCAGGATGCGCAGAAGACTGCTGTTTGAATATAGGCGGTTGTCATATATTGTATTGGTTATGATTTGATTCTGTATGCGCCAGGGATACAAATCCGAGTTGCGCAGTGTATAAACTGGAACATTGAGATCAAAAGTGCCGACGCAGAGTGAGCGAACTGATTCTTTAGCTATAAACTGTGACAGTGCCTAGAACCAATTAATCTGACAAGTGGCAATAATTCGAACATGGTCACAAAAATGAACAATTCATTTGATTATGGGATATATACTATATTATATTTATAATATTAATGTAATTTTGAATGTGAATTACATAAAATGAAAAAGTATGAATAAAGAGATGCACCAATTATAACCAAACCAAGAATCATATACGAGGTATGTTTTAAAACTATTACCTACAATGGTAAATAATACTTAAAAATAAAAACGGAGTGTAACACTCCCCCTCTCCTTCCGAAGGAGGTTAAGTTCCCAAAACTTGACCGACGATAAAACCTAAGAAAGCCAATGTCATACTAGAAAGACTAACCAACTAAAACATGTGAAATTTATACTGGAAAATTATTATTAAGATTATTTTGATCTGGTTTCAAATCCTGCATATGCCAAATTCCCTTCTCCAGAATCGTCTGACAACTCATATGTGCAATACCCTACCTTTCTATGTATTGTAAAAGGACCTACAAACTTAAGAGCTAACTTCGCAGCGTAATAGTTAAGACCATCAGACAATGCTTTATTTCTTCTCCAAATCTTGTTTGAATTCGACTGGTCGACAACGCAAGTCATACACTTTTTTACTGCGCTCATGGGCTTTTTGCAAACGAACAAGTACTTTTTCATACATTTTCTGATAGCCAGTTTGTCTTGTCTCTTCAGATGGGTCCAAATTATCAGCTGGAACCTGATCACAAAAATCTTGACCATAAACTTTAAAATTCCTACCAAAATTAATATAAAAAGGACTAAAACCGACTGTCTCATGTCAAGCAGTATATATGGCATATGCGATAGCTGCCAAATGTTTGTCCCAATGACGATGATTCTCCTTAACGTAGGAAAAAATCATGGTTTTTAAAACCCTATTGGTTCTCTCAGTAAGATCAGCTTGAGGCCAATAATGAGCCGTATAAGAAATAATGGTTTTATACTTCTTGCATAAATTTTGAAAATCATTACTTTTCATTGGTGTTCCATTATCACAAATCAAAAATTTTGGGGCACCATACATCAAAAATATACCCTCTTCTATACATTTAACTAAAGATTTAGAATTAGCTGATCTTAAAGGAAACAAAACAACAAATTTACTAAAATAATCAGTTACAACCAGACAATGCTTATGACCTGAAGTACTACGTGGTAAATGACCAATAAAATCTTAACTAATAATCTGTAATGGTTGCTGAACTTTGGGGCGACGTCCCATTAAACCAGCCGGAGCTTTTTGCTCAGGTTTCTGTTCAGCACAAATTTTACATTTTTTAATATAATTTAAAATATCACACCTCATTTTTGGCTAAATAGTTATTTTCCTAACAAGTGCGGAAAGTGTTACTTTCCCGCACGCGACTGCAGTTGGCCCGAACGACGCGAAGCGGAGTTCGGGCAAGCGGTCAAGTGCGGGAAAGACACTTTACGCATGAGTTAGGAACATTATTTTTTCTACGACCGTATATACAAAAAAGTAGGAAAATTTATTTTTGGAAAATTATTTTATTTCAACATATACAAATCTTTAAATAAAAACAACCAATTATTATGGATATTAATGTTAAATACACAATTTGTAGCATTTTGTAAATTATGTAAAATTGCCGGTACAGAGGAATTAGTTGGTGTTAATTGGCTGTTAATAGTAACGCTCGTAGATTGAAAAGATGACGTGGACGGGAGTGACATCGGTTGCAGGTCGCATGAAGGTGAAAATGACGGTGGCAGCAAAGGTTGCAAGTCATTTCTATTTGAAAGAATTTTATTCGAAATGTTTTTCTTCTGTGTTTAGGTGTCCTCCAAATAGCCTTCAGCGATAGTAGTGGACTTCCAGCCACCGAGACGTCTTATATTGGTTATTGCTTCACCTGAGTCTGCTAGGAATGTTGCTGAAGAACGTCTAAAACTGTGTCCTGTATATCGTTCAGGATTAGGTAGACGCAAATATGCAGCAATCTCTGTTGGCATCTTACCAAAGGTGTTTACGCCAACGCACTGAATTGAGCATTTTCCCTTCTTATAATTAATAAAAAAGCGGCGATGCGGAGTGGTAGGTGGTCGTAAACCTGCGTACTTTCAGTACAGCTTCAGATTGCCTTTATCTTGTATATCATCGAGAGTGATATTTACAAGCCCCGCTCTGCGGAGAGCACCAGCTAAAGCAAAAATGGTACTCACTTTAATCATAAGGTATACCTCATCAGGGGCTAACATAAACCTGGATATATCTTCTTTGGTAAAAACCTGCGCCTTCTGTGTTCGAAAACCAACATTTTTTTGTTTTAGAAATGACGTTAACTTATAGAACTGTCTTATATCCAAATTTTGTTTTATTTTTACTAAACTTTTCACCATCGAATAGCGAGACCATAAAGTATTAGATTTCAAAAACTTACTTAGGTGCGAAAAATACGCCAGAAACACCTCTTCTTTGTAGGTTTTTACCCCTTCCTGTTTACACCATGTGACAAAATGGTCGTATTGTTTTTCATATCTTCCTCGTGATTTGGCAGGTAACACCTCCAAATGTG